ATTTTAAACTTATCAGATATTTATTTTACCAGGGAATTCGCAACTTGTTAAGACCATTGCAATACAAATAGTAAAAAAAAAGAAAAGATATAAATAAATTCCATTATGCTATCTATAATTAATTTCCAATAAATATTATAAAATGCATGATACATGAGTCATTATTAATTATAAAAAAAATCTGGAAGAGGTATGGGATACCAAATAATTAATAGTTATTCAGATATCATATAGTTGTGATTTTGAAAAATAAACTATTTATTATAAAAAAAAACTACTTAGTTCAATAAACTAACATTTATAATTACAAATATTCTTTCTACTTACTATTATTAATAGATTCATCACAATAGTCCATATTGTATTTGATCTTTTTACTGCTCACGCCTAGAATAACATTTTTGAAAAAAATTATTATTTGATCATTATTCGTTATTTAAAGTAATGTAGTGAGCTTATATTACCAATGTCATCATCACTTTCAGTTAAATCATGAAATTTTCTTTTACCTTTTTAAAATATAAAAGGTTAATAGTAATCCTATTAAGAATCGTCTAATTGTATAATAAAGACTTACCGATCGTAAATTTTTCAGAATTTGTCAATATACTAGTAGATATAGCACCTGGATCTTTTATTAATATAGGACCAATATCCGGTGATTCCATAATTTTAGTTGGTTTCTTATTTTCATTCAAAATGATTTCATTAATATATTTAATAATTTCATAAGCTGTTGGTCTTTCATTTGGATTGGAATTCCAACATTTTTGCATTAATTCGATATAACCTTCAGGCGCATTTGTGATAATCGGAGGTCGAAGGCCATCAAAAATGTCAATAATAAGATATATATCCCATGTTCGATCCCAAAATGGTCTTCTACCCGTCATTAATTCCCACATAATTATACCAAAGCTATATATATCTGAAGCTTCAATATATTTTTGTCCTTGAATGATTTCTGGAGCAACATAAGGAATAATCCCATAATACACATTATTATTATCATTGGATTCAATTAATAATTTACTAATTCCCATATCACTAATTATGATATCATCTTCATTTTCACAAAGAATATTTCCACTGTGAAAATCTCGATGAACAATTCCTTGAAGGTGAATTTTACTAAGTCCAAATATAATATTCTTTAACATGATTAATTTATTGCTCCAATTAATATTAAAAAAGTTTGTTGCTATATATTTTTTCAAATCATATGTATAATATTTCATTATTATTATAAAATCTTTTGTAATAGGATTCTGTGTCATACCATAATATTTATTTAGGTAAAGTAACGATTCAATAAATGTCTCATTTGAATTAGCAATATAAAACATCGTTAACTACCAATTTATAAATTATATGCTTATTAATGTAAAAGTAAATGTTATAAAATACAAAAAATTTATAAATTAAACAACATACCTCATTTAATTCTTTAGATGTAATATTCTTAGAATTTATAAGTTGTTTTAATGCAACAGTAATGTTAGGTTCGGTATATTCAAAAACCTCGTTTTCTTCATTCCAATAAGGTGGTCCCTCAATCCAGGTGGCTTTATAAACTTCACTAAATCCTCCTTCACCAATCTTTTCTATATTTTTAAATTGATTATAAGGAATAAACTTCATTCTGCAAGATTCTTGAACAAAATTAATTTGTGTATGTTTAATAAATTCATCAACTACTCGATTTCCACTTGATTTATGTAATAACTTGAATTGATAACAAATTATACAAATTTTATGATTTTCTTTTAAAGGTTTCCTTTTTTTAAGACAATTACTACATTTTTTATAAATATCCTTTTCTGGTTCGATCATAAATCCTATTGCTAGTGCAATTTTACTAATTTCATTTTCATAAAATCTGCTGAATTTAAATTTGTGTTTTTTTACGGCTTTATGACACCAATAAATGGCCATTTTTAAATTCTTTTTGACCCCTTTACCTTTTAATTATAAAGAAGCAAGCTTAAATTGTGCGATAACGATTCCATTTTCAGCAGCTTTTTGATACCAATAAAATGTTTTTTCTGTTCCTTTATCATTTCTATAATTTTGTTTAAATTGTGTTAAACCATATTCCCTTTTTGCGGCTTTTTGATACCAATAAAGGGCTAATTCTAAATTTATCTCTGTACCTATGCCATAGTAATATGATGTTGTAAGATTATAAAGCGCAAATATGTTACCATTTTTGGCTGCCTTTTGATACCAATAAAATGCTAAATCACAGTTGGCTTCAGTTCCGAATCCTTTAGTATAACATCTACCTAAATATAATTGTGCGATCGGATAATCGTTTGCTGTTTTTTGGAAGCATTTAAATCCATCTACACTATTTTCTTCTAAACCGGTCATATTATAATAAATGAATATTCCAAGAAATAAAACATATTTTGATTCATTTTGATTTTCTATAAGCCAGTTAAAAACATCGTAGGTTGTTCGTGCAGAAAAAGCAATGCACTTATTAATAAAATGTTTTGTTTCATTAAAATCTTTACCCTCATCTTGTATTTTATTCAAATGGGTTATTAATTTATTGATCATATAATTAATATCATCTGTTGAATTAATCCACTCATCAAGTATTATGTCAGATTTAAACATTATTGCTGAGTAAAATAAAGTTATCTTCAATATTGAAAAATTCTATACTTTATCGTAAATTACTGAACTATTAAAAATTTAGAAAGGATCGTTGAATATTAAAGCGGAAATTCGGGTTTTCTAAATGCAATTAATTACCACAAAACTATTGTTTATCCGAGCCGAATCGAATTTAACCTAAACCAAACATAAATGCTGACTAATACTAAATTAAGCCTTTCTATTCTTATTTTAATAAAAAAAATACTTGTGTAACGGGACGTTTAGAATACATGTATAAATAAATGATTAAATTGTGTACAGAAATTTCCAAAAAAGGAAATCTTGTCTCCCAATAAAATTCAAGTTTGAGGCTCAAAAAAGGTCACACAAGTTTTCTTTTTGGATATTTATGTAACGTATCGTGATCTACCCCGTTGCAAAGCAAATGATAAAAATAATAATTAATGATCGAAAACTAATTTTAAATAATGAACTAGATCAGGTTGAGGTGCGGCGACTCTGTCGTCAGTTTTCTAGGTATTACCTATTGTACAAAATTTAATTTTATATTTTGGAATTATTACTATATAATTCTTTTAATGTAGGAGCATTTAAGGAAGATATTTCTTTCAAAATATTCAAAAATACAAATAAAAGAAAATTACAAATATTGATATATATTCCTGAAAAAGAAGACGGTGAAACTTCAAAGTTTATTTCAAATTTTCTCAAATTATGTTATAATGCCGAAATCAACGATATCGAAGAACAAAAGAAATACCTAAATTTTTCTCTTCCAAATGATTATTTTATGACCGAATTTTATAAGAGAAAAGAAAAAATTAATTCCACAAATGAATTAATTAACGAATTTGAGGAAATTGTTATAGATGAGTCAAATTTAATCAGAAACGGATCTATTGTAACTTTAAAACATGTGCTACGGGAAAATATTTAAGTTCCAATAAAAATTTAAAATATAAAACTGGTAACAGGGCTCAATTGGTATGGTTTTTTTTTATAATTAAGTACCTTTATTGATAAATTTTTTTATTTTATATAATTACTTTAGGTTTATGCAACTGATTTACTATATTCGGATAACTTATGGAAAATTACATTTATGAACGGGTAAGAACTAGCTTCATACACCGATGTTAAATCTATATGTTTACAACACAAAAATTCTGATATGCATTTTGGAATTTATACTTATAAGTATTATTGCAATTCACCTGTAACTAAGCACATCGAAGGTAGTCATTCATTTTTATTATCTATATTCTTTTTAAAAGTTTTTGTATTGATATTTTATTATTTAGTAAATTGTTCAAGTATTAATAATTATAATAATTGGAAGTTTAATAATAGTCAATTAGAAAATTATCAAGGATATTTGAAATCGAATGATATTATTAATCTTAGTACATACAACATTCATCACAATCGACAAGAATATTTACGTAGTCACGATTTTCAATTTACTATTGAAAGCGATATTTTTCAAGAAGTTGATTGACATAACGAAAGACTAGGAGGCAATGATGAGGTATGTTGATTAATATTAATTATTTATTTACAGTAAGTATGGATAATGAAAACTAAATTGATTATTCCTTTTAGTGGTGCATTGAACTTATTAATCAAAAGTAAATAAGTTTTGAGATTTCATGAATAAATAATTCTTTATAAACAATTGTAATATTGATAAATTATTTTAATTCTTAAGCCCAATTTGTTTTATTAAAAGAAAAAAATGTATCGTTTTACTGGCGATAAAATAACTTTTTACAGTCAGAATTCTCTTGATATAACGATCACTTAATAAATTCTCGTATAAACGATTATTTTGTTCTATATTAATCTACAGTATATTGATAGATGATTTTATTTTTTTTTAAAAATTTTTATATTAAACCGGAGTGGGTCGTTATGACGTGTTCTAACTGTAATCTACTTGTATATTTTTGAAGTGTAATTTATTTATTTATTTTTTTTTAAAAAAAAAATAAAATATCCTTAAGCGATCAAGGGGGATGAAGTCCCCGGCTATTCGTATAACGAGTTGTTTGATGAATACTAATAAAATTCAAAATTAATTATAAATATTGTAAATACCGCTAACCAAATTATTTGAATTCCACTCGTTCCTTCAACTTAAAAAAAAATTCATATTGAGAACAATTAAGGAAACAAAAATAAGATAGCGTCATCACCGCGATGTTTGTATTTCTATATCTTCTTATTGCCTATTTGTTTTTTCATTAAACGAACGATTTGTAAGGTCCAAACAATAATTATTTTCATTTAAAGAAAAAAGAATTTAGCAGTTAAAATGACTTACTAGAATATTCAAGCTTTATACGAACGATTAATCAATTCAACCTGCGCATCTAATAAAAGTATGACCTAGTTTTATAAATAAAAAGTGATATGTTATCTACAACCACATAGTTTTGACCACCCCATTGAACCATGATCTAAAATTTAATCATGGATGCATCGTAAATTTGTTATTTGCCATTAAACTATTCGTGATGTAAATGAATGCAAAACGCAGTTTAATAATTTTATTTTTTGCAATATTTTAATAATAAAGTCTTACAAGATTTTAATTCTATCTTTAACTTTGTTATTTTACCGAATAATGAAGATTGTCTAACATCATTTTAGTGATTATTTTACTATTTTATTCTTCTTCTTATTCCTCCTTCTCTTCTGTTCTGTATTTATCTTCACCGCATTTTCCCAAATCTTAACGCCAATTTCCATCACTTGACGTTCAAATTCATCAACAGGTACCAACCTAAAATTATCATCCGTGATATAACATAGTCTATCTGGATGGATAAGATAATTTGTAAAACCTTCTGTTAAGTTGAGTCCCAAGTACGTAATACTATTTTCCATTTCATTCCAAAGAAGCAAGCGTTTATTTTCATCCAGCATCCACATGGCGAATCCATAATGATCAACATATAAAGGACAAATATTCGTGACGCCAAATTCTTCTGCAAAATGTTCTCTATGTTCTTCATCAAAAAACCACAAGTCTTTATTAGCAATGTTATAAAGTTTATCTTTTAATTTTTCAACAAGGTGATGCGGCACATTTGGCAATTTTGGCAAGGAAACATTTTTATCCTCTTCTTTACTGACAGCGTGAGAGTACTGACTGGAAGGTTCGGTTTTATTTGAGCTAGATGCGTCCATGGATTGGTTTCCGAGCAATTTCCGTGTTTCCAAATCTCTATCTGTGGCATCAGCTCCTGATTTTGATAGCGGGGGAGAAGATGTCGAGGAAAAAGTTTCTGATCGTTCTGTTGTAGCACCTTGATTATACGAATTATCCAACTTATGATTTGATTCAAATGTTGATATAGAAATATCTTCAGAACTTTCCAAATTTTCACTCGTTTTTCCTCGCTTATTTGCCGAAACTTTATCGTATATAGGTAACACAGAACGTCCCATACCGTAACTATCGCTATTTTGGTGGACCAAAGTATCATTGTTATTAATATTGGTTTGTAGAATAAATTATTTGATTGTTCTTAATGTAGAACAATAAAGAAATATAATAACTTTGTTAAAAGAAAATATAGAATACGAGAATACTGTACCTGTGCGGCAGGTGAAACGTATTGTAAATTGTTGCTCTCCATTCTTCTGCACCATCTTTTCGACTTGTCTCCAAATCTAATAATATTAAAAGTACTTAATTTTTTTTTTCTTTTCATAATAAAAATAAAGTTAACGAACACGCTTACCGTGTCTTGTGTCCATGTTGCTTTCGGGTTGGTTATTAGGAATGGAAAGTGTATTGTCATTCATATTGTCCAATTGAGGGAGTTTGTATGAAAAATAAGCTTGGTAAACTGCAATGACGTAAGAATAAACTATTTATGATTGGTCACGTTACACCACGTGCTTACAAGGAAATATAAAATCAATTACCATCACTAGAAATTTACAGCACAGCACATCGATTTTTTTTTAAAAAATGAACTCTCAAAATAAAGATAAAATATTTATATAGGCAAGTAGAATACGAAAATAAATTTTTCAGGAAAATTTGAGTTGCCTTTTAATGGAACCAGTGGAAGATTTGCTATTAAAATCACGTTACGAATCATATGATCGTAACTCGATTTTATATAGTAAACCTCCCATATAATAAAGTAATTAAAGCAATACAGGTCCCGAAATTTTAATATAATAACTTAACTAAATTGATTATATTAAATTAAAATTACATATAAATGTCAGTACTGCGGTAAAAAGCACTTGACCATCCATTATACTCTCGAATACTTGGTTTCGAGTTCAAACTAATGCCAAAAAATAAATTAAAATTTTTTTTTGGTATTAAAACAATTTTCGTTATTTAAGAAAGATTTTGTTATATCGTAAAGTTCCCCATATATTTGATGATAGCAAAAATTTGTAGATTTTTCATCATTTTCCTTTATGTGTCTTTAAACTTTCCATTAAACTGGATGTTGTTTCTTCCAATGTTAAAAAAAATTCATTTTTATTAAAGCCGCAAGTCCACTCATTATAGAATTAGCGGACATAATGTTGGTGACATAAAATAATCTTCGATCTGACGTAAATACATCAAGGCTATGTGTGTAAACGTGTCAAGGAAACTTTATAAATCGCCACAATTAAATTATATCACAGGTCTAACAGCCAAAAAAAGTATAGACTTACGAAGTTCAGCTCATTTCCAATAAAAAAACGATCAAATCTAGAAATGTACATAGTTATTAGAGCTGCTCAAAAATAGTTCACTTCTCACCAAGCTATAATTCATTCAATTTGTCATCAGAGAATATGAAGCATAACAGCATATTATTCAATGAACGTAATTTATTAAAATAATTAATTAAATCTTTTGAGTTTATTATTAATTTATTCAAATCAGTGTATTATTAATCTGTCTAAGCAGGTGGTAATGGTCATGGTCATGGTCGCGGGTCGCGGTATCGATAAGAAACACCAACGGTTGAACCTGCAAACAGGTAATAACATATTAATCATTTTTAATTTCTATATTACGATCACTAACAGATTGTGATTTTATTATGTTTATTCGAATATTAGGACCAAAGAGTATTTTACATGCCCAACTTTTCTTAACTATTTCATATTTAGATTTAGTGTACATCAATGTCTATGAATATTGGGATATATTAATATAGCACATCTGAAAAATACAGACCCGCTAACAGTACTTTGGCCAATATTAAAATCAATATTTTTTATAATAAGTTTGCCGACAAAGCACTAAATTACGTAATTTCGTATCAAGCAGCTGTAATAGTAAGGAATATTCCGTGAGTTTGCCAATTATTCTCAAGGACCTAACTTTTAATGAAGTGGGATTATCAATTAACGGTTGAAAATTTTGATCGTTTTATCCATCACAATGACGGAATAAGAGGTAATGTATGCTGGTGAAAGAGTTAAGCGCATCTAATGATGTCACTTGCTAAAATTCACAGTTGATAAACTTGATTGAATTTAAAAGTTCTAAAACATTGCTTAATGGCATTCAATAGCATTCATCTGTATTTCTATAAGGGTAAAAGATGAAAGTTATAATCAGAAAATTCAACTCGTTTAATGGAAGGTGATAAAGTCAGCACGAATTCTTGAATGTTCAAACGATCAGTTAAGCTTCTCAATATTGATATGAATTTTGAACTATGAAAATGATTTCAAACAATTCGAGTAAAAATTTGTCATAAAAAACACTGCTTTTCATACTTAAACTACTTAAAGTAGCATCACTTTCTACAAATAATTTAATATACGACAGGACGAACCTTTTATTTTGTTACTATATTCGATTCACGAGGTTGTGTAGGTACAGTTCTAATTGAGATAATACCAATGTTTGATGAAAGTGTGATACTTATATAAAAGATTTGGATCCTTTGACTAAATAGTAATCCCAATATCTTTAAAATTTGCTTTAACGTCATCAACAAGAAAATATGAAGAAATATCCATAAAACCATAAGTTCTTCGACTTAAATTTCGATTGAATAGAGCGTAAGAATATAACGAATTTGTAAATTTTGTATTATATAATAAGTTAACGTTAACTCAGGTAATTCTCCGTTAAATAATTTATGGTTTTGAAAGGAAGGATTTATTGTATACTTTTTTTGTTACACTATGTTGATAAACCCAAACCAATTGTAAAGCCACATGCCAATCAATACATTGAAAATCACGTGTAAAATTTTGCGTGTTGTGTTTTATAAAAAAAATAGGTAATGCTGCTTTTCTTAAATTGTGATATAATTTTATTTAATATTTATTTTAAAGTGCTTATTAACATCTTTGATCCTTATTAAAATTAAAATTAAAGCTACACATGTAGGGCAAAATTTACAATAATAATATTTCCGGAGACAATTCTTATCATGAGAAACATTCTTTCCCACGTTTCCTTGATCAAATTTTTTTTTTTTTTATAAAAAATTTTATTCATATGGGACCTTTGCAATAGAAAAAGGGAAACGGCGGAAAAATAAAAAAAAGATTTAAAGCTAAAATCTGACCTAAAAATCATATTTTGGCAAATAAAAGTAAAGTTGATTTTTTCCAGCAGTTTCCCCCCGCAAAGGTCTCATATATTAAAATGATTCGAAAACCAAACAAATTAATCAAAAAAATAAAATTTTTAATAAAACAAAAAAAAAAAAGAAAAGAAACAAAGAAAAGAAAAAAAATGAGTTCCGAGAAAGTGAGTTTTATTATTATTATTTGATATTATTATATGTGTGGTGATTCTGAAAACCTTATAGTTGATACTGAAAATGACATACTTGCGTAGTCAATGATGAGCATGGCGAAGGTCACTGTTTTAATTTGCTAAATTTATTATTTATTTGTTAGTCGGAACTCAAACAGATGAGTTTGATTGTTGCGAATAAGCGAATAGAAGATTGAAAAAACTAATCAAAAATTGGAAAGTGAAAAAATTCTATTCAAATCAAATGAGGTGCTGTAGAAAATTTACAGATTGAATTAATGGAATTGAAAATAAATGGTACGTTTGATTAAAACAAATGAGTAAAAGCTTTCATTTTCATTATTCTTATATTTACATTCATTCTAAATATTTTTAAAAAACATAGGTGATGATTTATGAGTTTTAAGAAATGAAAAAGAATGTAGACTTTTTCATATTAATCTTCAATACCTGTGGCTTAAAATAACCAAATTAGTGTTTAATACTACTTTAATACTTATATTTGGTCAAAATTTCTGCTTTAAATTTCCCTTTTCTGACAAAATAATAAAATTTGGAATTCCATCTTTAATATGAAAAAATGATTGTAAGAATTTTATTACAAGTGCAAAAAAGTGATTACAATTAATCCTTTTATAGCAACAAGTGCTGCAAGCATTATTAACCAAGTTTTTGATAGTAGTAACTCTAGATTTTCTTACTCGAGTTACATCTGATTCGAGTAATTCGACTTGTTAACTATTGAGATTTAAAGCTAAGTAAAATTAATACACAAAGAATGTATCTAAGCTGATGATTCTTTATCGTAGTTAATTATCTTATAAACTTTTGTTATCATTAACTCATTTAATAAACATGATATGCTAAATGTCTTGTGCGATTAGAATTGATAAATAATTTTTTTTTTTTAATAATTCTAAATAAATGGAACGCGAAACTTTTCATTTAATATGTTGCGGTACTTTTTGCTAAGGATGATCGATTATTAACTTTTGTGTAATATATTGTTATTCCCAGTCATGTTATGTTTAATATTATTTTTTTTATAAATTATAAAACGTTTTCAAAATTGTTTTCACCTAAAATACATCATAAAATTAAATTACGAATATATATTTAATTTTAATACGTAAGACTTTTACATTAGAAAATAATGTTAAGATTACAAGTAATACCGCAGCAAATCAGTATGAACTCGAGTGCTTGATTTGATTTAATTTCAATTCTTAACTCGAAAGCTCTTCGAGTCGTAAACCTTTTTCGTCCTTGGAACAGTATCACCGGAAGGATAGATATTCATGGCTTATATGTAAATCATGAAATAACTTTATTATTTAAAAGGAATGATTATCATTTTGTAGTTGAAGTTTTGTAAAAATAAGTAATTAAGTCCATTTAATTTATGGACTTGTATTAAAGGACCCCGAACAATACATGAAAAGGTAACAATATAGAGTTTGCGTAGAATGAGCCAAAATTTAAGTGAATCATTTCCTTTTTTGGATAATTCCCATCAGCATTACATAGTGCCGGCCCTGAAGAGATGCGTAGAGCTATTAGTAAATATGTGCCGGTTTCTTGTTACCTATTTATATATTGCTCAGTGTCCTTGTATTAACTTAGCAAATTAGTAAAATATATTAGTCATCCTTATTATTTCCCGGAAAATTTGATTCAAATAGATCCAATAAAGTATAGATCGATATTTTGGGAGGATTGCTATTTAAATCTTGTTCGGATTATATGAATTATGAAACTTAGAATTTAATAGTAAATGAACATCTGTCTGTAAGTTCAACAAAATTCATATAAATGACACAACATTTTGCGAAAACCAATTTGTTGCACTAATATGTATTCTTCATAATTTACTAATTTAATACATTTATCTCTTTATTATTTGAAATACTTCATAATCATCTATAAAAAAATCATCTTCAGTATCCCTTATCTTTTTTTCATAATAACTCTTTTTGCAACAAATTTGATGGTAATCTGCTGTTCTATTTGATGAGCACATGATAAGATCCGAATCTCCAAAACGTGGTCCACTGCAACTATT